AGGATACCTTGCTCAATAGTAGTAACTGTGAGAGGGACCTCGGAGTCCTAGTGGACAGTTACTTAAATATGAGCCAGCCGTGTGCTGCAGCTACCAAAAAGGCCAACACAGTGCTAGGCTGCATTAACAGAGGGATAGAATCAAGATCACGTGAAGTGTTAATACCACTTTACAATGCCTTGGTAAAGCCACACTTCGAATATTGCATCCAGTTTTGGTCACCACGATGTAAAAAAGATGTTGAGACTCTAGAAAGAGTACAGAGAAGAGCAACAAAGAAGATTAGGGGACTGGAGGCTAAAACATATAAGGAACGGTTGCTGGAATTGGGTATGTCTAGTTTAATGAAGAGAAGGACGAGGGGGGACATGATGGCAGTGTTCCAATATCTCAGGGGCTGCCACAAAGAAGAGGGAGTCAAGCTATTTTCCAAGGCGCCTGAAGGCAGGACAGGAAGCAATGGATGGAAATTAATCAAGGAGAGAAGCAACCTGGAACTAAGAAAAAATTTCTTGGCAGTTAGAACAATTAACCAGTGGAACAACCTGCCTCCAGAAGCGGTGAATGCTCCAACACTGGAAGTCTTTAAGAAGAGACTGGACAGCCATTTGTCCGAAATGGTATAGGGTTTCCTACCTGAGCAGGGGGTTGGACTTGATGACCTCCAAGGTCCCTTCCAACTTTATTATTATTATTATTATTATTATTATTATTATTATTATTATTATTATTATTATTATTATTATTATTATTATTATTATTATTATTATTATTATTATTATTAAAGACGGCGGGCATATTCTGGAGGGGAATTGCCTGGGATCCCTTTGCCCCACCCCTTTCCCAGGAGACGGTCATTATCCGGGTCCACCAAAGAGGCTCATTAAACAACTCGGAAAGATCTCTCGCAAAAAGGCATGAAAGTTCACCGGTCCTTTGATTTATTACATAATAAAGTTATATTGTTTTATTCCTGCATAGTTCCTGGATGACCCCATAAGTACATTTTTCAAAACCTCTCCGTAGCTATCAAACAGGGGCTCTTAAGGCTATTCCACGATTTCCTCTTGGTGGCATTCTTAAGAACCATGCTCTGCTCTCATCGAGCTCTTTCAATTCCTTCAGCAGTTTTTTTTTTCACTTTCTTTTTTTCCTCCCCCCCCTCCCCAAACTGGAAGCTTCCTCCCCTCTCTGGAAGAAAAGGTGTAAAATATTCTCACAGTTTCACAACTTATTGAAAAATGTGCATTACATTGGCGAATGGCAATTGCAAGCAAGCTATATACTTTAGCAGGATGGTTGCAGGTTTATATATGCATGCTACCTACTTGAAAACATAACGAAAAACAGAGAGTTATTTTCATGATATGTTCCACATTCTGGTTAAAAAGGATTACTTTAATAGGCTACCTATCAGATTATTGTCCTTAGTATGGGAGTCAGTAAGCCATGAAAATAGAAACATGCTATTATAAATAAGCTCAGTTAAAAGGAACTGTAAACGTGGGTACGCAAGAAAAGAAGAATATAAAAAAATTAATGGATTAATCATAAGGGCTTCAGTTGATTATATTTGCATGTGAATATGAGCCCTTGGCCCCCTGGGGCCTTCTCTCCACTGCCATGAATGCAAGGCCATTGCTCTGTCAAGGTCATGTCTCCCTTGCATATTATTTTTAAGTTCTTGTATTAAAAAATAGCGTTTTTAAAAAAATCAGTCCCACTTAACTGAGGGCACCATTTTTGAAAGGTTTTACATGTCATCATCTAACTAATTATAGGCTCAGTGGGGGTATCCATCCACCAGATGAGGTCTTAAGATCTGCCATACTGATTCCCTTGCTATATCAAAATAGCCAAAGATGATGTCTGAATGTCTGTCTGTCTGAATGTCTGTCTCTATTATCTATCTGTCTAGCTATCTATATCTATATCTGTCTGTCTGTCTAGCTATTTATCTATCTAGCTATATCTATGTCTGTCTGTCTATCTTTCTGTCTGTCTGTCTGTCTGTCTATAGCTATCTAGCTATCTGCTATTTATATCTATATCTGTCTGTTTAGCTATCTATATCTGTCTGTCTGTCTGTCTAGCTAGCTAGCTATTTATATCTATATCTGTCTGTCTGTCTGTCTGTCTGTCTGTCTGTCTGTCTGTCTGTCTGTCTGTCTATCTATCTATCTATCTATCTATCTATCTATCTATCTATCTACCTACTGTCTAGCTATATCTCTGTCTATCTATCTTATCTTCAATCTGTCTCCATATCCTTTTGATATTTTTTTTTAACCTTTGGATGGCAGATTCTGATGGCCCCTTAATACTTGGCTTTGTACTTCTGTTTCAGAAATGGTTTTCCGTGTGT